ATCTCCCTCAATCTATGGCTAAAACGCCTCCTACCTGTAAAAGACCAAGGGATTACAATGCGTCAATGATCTCCAATTTCACTGTTCGGTTTCTATAAAATCGAAAATGATATCAATAAATATGACATACCTCCATTATTGCCGACCATTTTTCTTGAATATACTGGTGATCGATGTTTTGGTAACACTATATTCGAAAATGGAGAAAGATTACCTTCGCCGGATTCTGAGGGTTGCATGCGATGAAGACGGGATTGAATCGGAAAAGGAATCGAGGAGTTACAAAATGTTAACTTTGTTTACCAATTCTACCCTTATTGATGAAATAAAATAAATATTAATTATTTTTTAATTTTTAATTTCCTAAAATAAAGTAAAGTAATATAAGCCATTGATCAAGAAAATGGATGGATGAGATTGGTTTACACGGTTTACACAAATGGGTCAAGTTTTTATTTGAATGCTCCTCTCTCTCTCTCTCTCTCTATATATATATATATATATATATATGCATTTCATGTATGCACCCGTCATGCATGGGTTTGCATATATAAACGGTTGATGGCTTGCTATATATATATATATATATATATTGTGATAACCGGGTCCTGGTTATTACCCAATGTATTTATTATGTGAATTAATTGTTTATATGGATACATGTTTACATAGATCGAATACGTGAGTATGTGTATTTTATGCATAGGGATATATGCATAATATGTAAATATATATATATATATGCATGCTGTATGTAGGTGTGTGTATACATATGTGAAATGATATACATGAATACATGTGGGAAGGGGAAGTAGCCGACTTTCCAATTCAGGAAAGTATATATATTGGAAGTTGGGGAAAACTGAGTTTCTTCTTGTCTCATTTGAGTTTTGAGAGAATTTTGAAGAGAAGTGTTGTCCGGTTATTCATTTTGGTTTTGCATCTTCTTCAAATCTGAGTTCTTACTTTAAGGTGAGTGATTTCTAAAAATATTTTTTTAAAAGCTTTGATTATTACTATAGAAAGAACTGCGTATTATTCTTGAAATTGGTTTTGTGCGATTTGGGTTTAATCGGACAAGGGTTGATCGGACTAGGTATAAACCGGACAAAGCTTTGTCCAGATTACTCTTAAACTGGATAAGAGGTGTCCAATTTATTTATAAATCGCTAAGTGTAGTGCGATTTAGGGTGTTAGTGAGAATTTTGATCTATGTAAATCGGACAAAGGTTTTTGAACGGAGAAGTATGAATACGACCAAGTATTGTGCGGTTTAGCCTTAAATCGCTTAAAGGTCGTGCGGATTAGTTATAAACCGATCAAGTATTGTGCGGTTTAGCCTTAAATCGCTTAAGGGTCGTGCAGATTAGTTATAAACCGATCACGTATTGAGCGGTTTAGTCTTACACCGATCATGTGTTGTTCAGATTGTTTTAAACCGGACATGAGTCATACGATTTAGTCTTAAATCGACCAAGTGTTGTCCGGATTAGTATATCGGACAAGAAGAGTTAGTGTTGTCCGGATTATATATCCGGATAACTTATCCGGGTGACCTATATTTGATAATTTTCAAATGTTGAATATTTTAGACATTTAATATAATTTAAAAATGTCTATGATTGGGTTTAATTATGGATTTATAAAAGGTGTATTTTATATCTTTCTAAATAAAAAGATATGTTCCTACCAAACGTGGTGACGTAAGTCTGTTTTGGTATGGAACTGGATTTGAGAAAATGTTTCTACCAAGCGTGGTGACGAAAGTCTGTTTTGGTATGAAACTATATTTTGGGAAACCTTCCTACCAAGCGTGGTGA